TCAGGATGGCCTCGTGGTTCCTCCCCAGGCCACGTCCCGTCCCAAGGGCATATTCACCGCCAATGCGATGCAATCTTAAAGGCCTGGAACGAGTGCACTGGATGATTGCCGGTGAGCACAGATTTGATGGTGACTCCGAGGCCCTTGTCTACAGGAGTGCAGCATGGGAGTGCTGTGCAAAATCCACCTTGAGTGTGAATTAAGGAGGAATGCGGGAGGAGTGCAAGCAGCAGGGGGAGCAGATGGCCAGTGCCGGCGGTGGGGTCAGCCTGAGCTTCTGAGGCGTGAGCTAGGAGTTATTTTTACGGCCGCCCTGCCCTGCCCAAATCCTCCTGAAAGGGCAGCGATCATTACTTCCAATTATGCTATTATGTCTGATGGCTTCGCCATGGCATTTAGAGTTGGTGTTCTGGGGACCGTCGTTAGCCTTCGAGGCCTCTCCTAGATTCATAAAATTCTGCCTCTACCAGGCTTCTCAGCTCAGACACCATGCTGCAAACCCACAACCCCCTACCCTTCTCTGGATAGAGACAAGTAGGACCCTTCTTGACTCGGGCGCCGTGCCGTAAACTAGATAGAGATGAGTGGGACCCTTCTCGGCTCAGATGCCATGCCGTGAACCCAAGATCCCCTATCCTTCTCTTGATATTGACTAGCAGGATCCTTCACGGCTTGGGCACTGTGCCGTAAACCCCAGGCCCCCTATCCTTCTCCCAATAGTGATGAGAAGGATCCTTTTCGGCTCGGACACCGTGCTGTAAACCCGCGACCCCCTACCCTTCTCTCGATAGAGAGAAGTAGGACCCTTCTCAGCTCAGACACCATGCTGCAAACCCACAACCCCCTACCCATAGAGATGAGTGGGACCCTTCTTGGCTCAGATGCCATGCCATGAACCCCAGGCCCCCTATCCTTCTCCCAATAGTGATGAGAAGGATCCTTTTCGGCTCGGACACCGTGCTGTAAACCCGAGACCCCCTACCCTCCTTCAGATATTGACAAGCGGGATCATTCTCAGCTTGGACACCATGCCAAAAACTCGAGACCCCATACCCTTCTCCGGATATTGAAGAGCAGGATCCTTCTGAGCTCGGACGGCGTGCCATGAACCCGAGACCCCTGTCCTTCTACCGGATACTGACCGGCAGGATTCCTCTGAGCTTGGACGGCATGCCATAAACCCAAGAACCCCTATCCTTCCTCGGATATTGATGAGTGGGATCCTTCTCGGCTCAAACACCATAGCTTAAACACCAGATCCCCTATCCTTCTCTTGATAGTAAAATTCCTCCTTAATTGGGACGTTGTAAATCCAAGACCTTGTACCCTTCTTCAGATAGAGATGAATGGGTTCATCAGTGACTGCAGACTCCCAATTAATTGCTTTTCTTCCGTGTGACACTGCCACAACCCCATGTCTCATTTTCTGCCAGTCCTGTCTGGCCTTTGGTGCTGTGTCCGGAATGCTTTTGGCCTACTTGTGCCTACTCACAACTTAGCATGGTTGAGACCACCTTCTCAAGAGCTGTACCTGCAGAATGACCAAAAGGCAAACGTGTGCTGCGCGCCCTTGCATTTAGTCAAGTGGCATCTGCCTTGATCCGTCTCAGAAGCGCTGGCATTCCAGTGCCACTCTGATATACCCCACGCCAGGTTTCATTCACCGGGTGGCAGGCACTGATTTTTATGGATACACACCCATGTGGTCCGCTACGAGGAGGTTGAATTGAATATCGCTTTTCATCCCAATGCCACCCATCCCCCCCCGGAACAAAATGTAAAGCCTCCCCAACCCCAAGATTCAGTAGATTCCATTCTCACCCAACAGACTAGATAGAAATAAATAAATGAAGCCTGGAGAGAGGTAAAGTGAACAAAAATGACTAAGCAGTGTGACTATCAGAAGAGCAAAGATGCTGAGTTCTAAACCCTTTTGGTGAGGTTGGGGTGGGCTGAGGGTGTTCGGTAAGAAGCCTGCTGGATGAAGCTGGATTTCTCAGTGCTGACGTGCGCTTGGCACATCGCAGCACGAGAGTGACCTTGACAGAGGTGGTTTAGCTATTAATTAGCATCGAGCTGCCATGCGCCGTGTTGTCTATAACCAATCGATGTGAGTGGGGGGCGGGGTGCTCTGTTTCGTGTTGATCCTTGTTCTAAAACTGTAAAGCTAAACCCCTGTTTAGATTCTTACATTTGGCAAATAAATGGCCTGGTTTTGGGTTGCATCGCAATACTTTCCCTGCATAACCAATGGTGTGGCTCTCTCCTTGGCCAGCCAAATCCATCCTTTGGCTCGCTCCAATCGACCAACGCACAGTTTTGGCCTGGATGTCCGAAGGAAGAGACGATGTCGTAATGGTTGTGTCGTCAGTTGTCAAACTCAACAGCTGTTACTCTGACCGCTTAAGGGGGGTTGGGACATCAAGGCCAAACGGATCAACTGAGCCGCAACACGGATGTCCTTCAACTGAAGGTATTGGAGGGAGATCTGACGAATGCTAATGCCTTCGCATGTGTGTGGACAGTCCTGAAAGCTTTCAGAGGGCGTGTGTGTGCCTGTGTGGGAAAAAAGGGAGGGAAAAAAATCAGTTAAGTGAGTAGATACAAAATTATATTTCCATTGAAGTCAATGTCCAACAATATCTGTAATGCTTTTGTGTGGCGGATGATGGATATTTTGTTTTGTCATGAGTGCATAGTCAGCCAAAATATGTCGTTTCGCCTTTTAGAATTTGCAAGCCTGTGATGTGACAATGATAATGCCCTTCACAGCAGTGTTATTGTGTTAGAGCGGGTTTAGCAAGGATGCTGAAAAACATTTTGTTGCTCATTGTGTTTGTTTGAGCATAATTAATTTTTAGTTTTGCCTTGGCGAGGATGATCCCGTCCATTTTTAGTTGTCGCTTGCCATAATTTTTCTGAGCTGACATCAAGGAAGGAAGTCATGGGCCTTAGGTTTGATCTGGAGTGTCAGAGCGAATGTTGAACTTTATCCATATTTATATTAAATTAATTTGTTTCTTGGGAGTTTGTGAGCGCATGTGGCTGGAGCTGTATTAGATTTTTCTCATCCCTTACAGCGTTGTTTTTGCGGTGATAGTCAGAGCAAATGTCATCCCCGAATCTCTTCGTCATAAAACTGCATTCCTCTAATAAGAAAATTTAAATCAATTATGTCTGAATTCATTTATCAGGGGCCAGCAGGAAGGCCCAGATTTGATCAGGGCGGATGCTACTGGCATTGCATTTTCCGTTAGACATCACATGGCAGAGGACATCCAGTGAAGTCATGTTTTTAGCATTCGTGTCTCTGCAGTTTCATATGTATGCGTGGCTGAAGATGCACATATTCTAGATAATGCATGTGGTTACTAGAACATGAGATCGAAAGGTCAACAGTTCAGATTAGTAGAACACTGATTGTTGTACTAGCAGCTTAATCGGTCTAGTGAAAAACCAATTAGTAAAAATTCTCTGTAGAAACTGGGGGAATGCAAGCTATTCAACAATATTAAGTAACTCTGTTAAATGCTAGCATCAAAGAGAAGTAGCTTTGGGAGGGTTTGCAGACACAGACTGGAAGCCTGCCCTCTCTCCTTTTTGGCATGGGGGGGTCCTCCATACACCATACTGCCACACCCAGGCAGGGGGGTGGGAGGTGGTGAATGCTTAATGAGGGCCACACTGTGTCAACTCATTTTTGTTTTTAACCCACATCCACTAAAGGTCAGTGTTGCTCTTAATGGGAATCTATATAAAGCTTAGTGAGAGACCGAGTGTCTTTTCATCTCAGAAACCCCCTGCCTATAGCTTCCTACCTCAATGTGCTAAAATGACTCTTGACTGCTTGAATGCAGAGTTTGATCCAGACCCGGTGCTGGGGCTGGGGCTGGTGCTGAGCGGCCGCTCACCCCCTTCCAGGCCCCTCGCGGGCCCTCGGTCATCCTCCCCCCCCATACTGCTCTAGCCGAGCCGTTGCCAGGCAGCAAGCTGCCCATCACGGTGCGTCGACAACTGTCGCTAAGAGAACCCACTGGGTTGGAACAGGGACCTGCCCCACTGAGACTTGATTCTGCACAGCTATTGTACACGGTTCTGGAGAAGGCCCAACCTCCTCCTGCTGTTACTGTTTAAACAATTAATATTCCACTAGGTTGGCTGTGGATGACTGCAGAAGCCCAGGCTGACCCCAGAACTGGCCAAAATTTAAGCAGCGGCCCTGGCCACCACTTTAGTGCGTGCTGGGGAACCTGACTGCAGAGTCAATCACTGTCTGTGGAACATGAGCGAGGCAAGCGCATAGCCTAACCAGAGAGTCAATTTTAATATGCCTTGCCATGCGTAGAAGCAGAGCATTGTGGGCCCTCTTGACTGAGAGGCAGACCCTCCGAGCTGGTGGGATGAGGCAGCGGTGCATTGACGGGGAATCGCATAATTACATTTTCTGTTCAAAGAATATTGGGAATCAATAATGTAATTCATAGGAAAGCCATATAGTGTCCCTTTATTGACATTTGTGGTCGTGTTCAAGCTCACATCCAATAGAATTAAAGTATAAAAATCAGCTTGCCCTTGAAAAAAAAAATCGTTCATATCAAGCTTTGGCTACCCACAATTCCTGTCGAGGAAACTTCTTCATCATAATATGTTTCAGATGACATTTTGTTTTGTTAGCTAAGATTTAAGCACCCCCTGAACCAACACACGTGGCTTACGGGCTGCTTTTGGTGAGTCTTTACCCCTGGAGTAATGTTTCGGTGGTGGGCAGGTGAAATATAAAATGACTGTAACTCTGGGTGTAACTCCGAAGGTGTGTATTTACCCATTTACTCCCACTTTAATTGGCCAAAGAAATGACCTTGGAAATAAAGGTCATGGAAGGCGACAAAAACGCAACCTGGGGCATCAGGTGGCTCTCGGGGTCGTTGCTTAAGGAGTCATTAACATGTGCGGTGTGTGTGTGTGCGTGTGTGTGTGTGTGTGTGTGCGTCTTTCCGCAGCTCTGACGGAGGGTCAGCCGGCATCTTCGCCAGGGAGACAGCATGAAGCCGGCAGGACGAGGAACGGCAGGGCAGCAGCGGAGTCCTACTGGGCCTACTCAGGTGAGTCTCTGTCACAGCGACAAATTAGGGTCTGGCCCCCCGGCCTGACCCCCCCCCCC